AATCGGAGTAATGCTCTCCTTTATGAAAGGTACTGCAGCCAAATGGGCGCAACCTTACATCACCAAACTTGGAAAGACCGGAGATGAGAAGTTGACCGTGGAGAAATTCCTGGAAGACTTAGAAGCCATGTGGGGGCAAGAAGATCGTGAAGGAAAAGCGATCAGAGAACTGGAATCCCTTAGACAAGGATCTTCCTCAGTTCCAGAGTACGCAGCCGCTTTCAGACAAAAGGCTGCACACACTTCATTTTCCGATTACGACCAGAGACAGAAGTTTAGACTGGGACTTCAAGACCGTGTCAAAATACAGCTCGCTCATGTCCGTTACGAGGACAAAAACACCATGAAGAAACTGGTGGAACATGCGATCCAAATCGGACGCAACTTCGAAGAGCTGGATGCGGACAAGAAGAAGACGACCTGGTGGACCCCTAAACAAGGCCCCAGGACCCCAGAATACAAACCTGGCCCTAGTAGGGAAAGTGACGCTATGGACGTCGACGCCAACAAACAGCGAGGTGCTCCAAAACCTCAAGGAAGGACTGGATCCTTCAAATGCTACCGCTGTGGAGGCGAAGGCCATATGGCTAGAAACTGCAAAGACGCAGTCGCACCAAAAGTGCAGGTGAAGGCTACTACAGTGCCAAAAGAAGAAGACCCTATTCCAAGTTGGTTCAAAGCTTGGGTCAGCTCCAAGGAAGGCAAGGGTTTTTAGAAGGGTCGAAGTCAAAGTCTGCGAACTTAGACCCAAACAATCGTTTCTCTATCCTATCTACGTTCTCGGATGTATCAGAAGTATATATTAAATCCAAATCTGAACATTTTTACATTCCGATCACGTTGAAGGGAAAGAACCGACAAGCAGATGTGAAAGCACTGGTAGATTGCGGTGCATCGACATTATTTATTAGCGAGAAGTTTGTAAAAAAGAACGAAGTCCGGTGCCATAAATTATTAAGGCCCATTCCGGTTAAAAATATTGATGGCTCGTTAAATGCCGCTGGATCGATGACTCATTACGCTGAATTAGGTCTAAAGATCGGTGACCATGTTGAGGATCAAGCAGCCTTCATGGTTACGGACTTAGGAAGCGATGATGTTATTATTGGCATAGATTGGCTAAGATATCACAACCCGGAAATAGATTGGAACGCTGGACGTTTTGCACTTTCTCATTGCCCAGTTAAATGTATTACTAAAAAAGAACAAAGACAAAAAAATAAAGAAAAAAGAAAAGAACAAAAAAAGATAGAAGAAGTGCCAGACCTGATTCCCACAGAAGAGGATGACGAAGAAGACATGGCGATGAAGAGGGCGACGGTTGAGGAAATAGAAGACGAAGAGTATCCTGGAGAATGGATCAAGTATAAAGCCTCGGTTGCCACGGAGCAGAAGGTTGCAGAAGAAGCAACGAAGGTGAAGAAATCGGTCAAAGAGATGGTTCCCGATTGGCTTCACGAGTACCTGGGAGTTTTCTCAGAAGAAGAATCTAAGCGCTTCCCTGAAAGAAAGAAATGGGATCATGCGATAGATCTTAAAGATGATGGCGATCTTCCGCCAAATGCGAAACCCTATCCCTTATCACCCAAGGAGATGGACACTTTGAAAGATTGGTTAAAAGCCGAGACTGCACTGGGACGTATAAGAAATTCACAATCTCCAGTGGCAGCACCTTTCTTCTTTGTGGCCAAAAAAGATGGCAAGTTGAGACCGGTGATGGACTATAGAAAGCTCAATGAGAAGACGGTTAAAAATGCATATCCGCTACCGAGATCTCAAGATTTGATTGATGCTTTAACCGGTGCCACGATGTACTCCAAGATGGATGTAAGATGGGGGTACAATAATATTCGCATGAAAGAAGGAGATGAGTGGAAGGCGGCCTTCAAAACGCCGTTTGGTCACCACGAACCAACCGTAATGTACTTCGGTTTAACAAACTCCCCTGCCACGTTTCAAACCATGATGAACGAGATATTCAGAGATTTAATTGATGGAAAGACCGTAGTTGTCTATATCGATGATATCCTCGTATTCACGAATGGCAATAGGGAGCAACACCGAAAAGTTGTATGAGAGGTACTGAAATGACTAAAAGAGAATGATCTGTATCTGAAGCCTGAAAAGTGTAGCTTCGAACAGACAGAAGTCGAGTTCCTCGGGTTGATAGTGGAGAAGGGTGGTGTTCAAATGGACCCTGTGAAAGTAGAAGGAGTAATGAAATGGCCGGTACCCAAATGCGTTAAAGATATACAAGCATTTATGGGCTTCGCCAACTTCTACAGAAGATTTATCTTCGGGTTCTCAGACATCGCTAGACCAATGAATGATTTACTATGGAAAGATGTCAAATGGGATTGGATGGAGAAACAGCAAGATGCTTTTGATGAACTGAAGTCAAGGTTTACATCAGCTCCGATCCTAGTAATGCCTGACGTTGAGAAAAAAATGAAAATAGAAACCGATGCTTCTGATTACGCAACTGGAGCGGTTCTATCTCAACTGATGGAAGATGACCTATGGCACCCCGTGGCATATTACTCTAAGTCAATGAATGATGCAGAAAGAAATTACGACATCCATGACAAAGAGTTACTCGCAATCATTCGAGCGTTGGAGGAGTGGAGGCACTATGTGCAGGGAAAACCTCATCATGTGGAGATCTGGATGGATCATAAGAATCTCGAGTACTTTATGACGAGCCAAAAGTTGACAAGAAGGCAAGCCAGATGGAGTCTGTTCCTGGCGGAGTATGAATTTACGCTCCAACATAAGCCTGGTGTAGTCAACGATAAGGCCGATAAGCTTTCTCGGAGAGAAGACCACAGAGGGGGGGTAGAAAACGACAATTCTGATCGTATTTTGTTAAAACCGGAGTTTTTTACTGTAAAAGCTGCTAAAAGAGGTCAAGTTCTAGTGCAAGGAGAAAAACAATTGCTGAGAAAGATAAGGCAATGCACAGAACGAGAGCCTGAAGTCGCTAAAGCACTACAAACGCTAAAAGCAGCACCGGTACAATTGCGTAGAGGAGTTGAAGAATGGAATGTGGAGGATGGATTGGTGTTATTCCGAGGACTGGTTTACGTTCCAAACGATAAAGAGATTCGCCGAGAGATATTGGAGTTGTTTCATGACTCTCCACCGGCTGGACATCCTGGACGTGCCAAAACCTTAGAATTGATTTCCAGAAATTATTGGTGGCCTTCAATGACAAAGTATGTCCACGATTACGTAGATGGCTGTGATAGATGCAGAGCAACAAAGATTCACCCAATGCAACCACATGGTCCGCTTAAACCAAATGAAATACCAGCGGGACCTTGGCAATCAATCACTTGTGATTTGATAGTAGATTTGCCTAAAAGCGAAGGGTTCGACTCTATTTTTGTTGTCGTTGATCGATACACAAAACAAACGCACATCATGCCTACAAAAAAGGAAGTTGACGCTCGAGGAATCGCGAAACTTTTCTTAGATAACGTATGGAAACACCATGGAACTCCGAAACAGGTGATATCGGACAGAGGAACACAATTTGTTTCCAAGTTTATGGGACAAGTGTCGAAACGCCTAGGCATAAAATGGAACATGTCAACGGCTTATCATCCTCAGACAGACGGACAAACAGAGAGAATCAACCAAGAAGTAGAGCAATATCTGAGAATGTTCACGTCTTACCGCCAAAATGATTGGGTAGACTGGCTTCCGATAGCAGAATTCGCTCACAATAACTCTGTCACTGTAACGGGTCATAGTCCATTCAAAGTACTCTATGGATACAATCCAGAGTTTACTTTTTCACCAATTTCCAATTCTAAAGTACCTGCAGCTGATGAACGAGTGGATGTAATGAAAGAGGCGAAGGAAGACACAGAAAGTATGCTGCGAATGGTGAATGAGCGGATGAAAAAATTCTATGATAGAGGAGTAAAAGACGCACCACAATTCAAGAAAGGAGATCTGGTCTGGCTCAATGCCAAAAATATCCGTCAGAAAAGACCAAATAAGAAACTCTCCGATCGACGACTTGGTCCGTTTGAAGTGCTAGAGAAGACGGGTGATGTAAATTACCGCCTGAACCTTCCAGCAAAATATCAGATTCATCCGGTATTCCATGTAGAATTACTCACTCCGCATTCCCCCTCAACCTTAGTCCAAAGACCTCCACATCATCGTCCGCCGCCAGAGATCTTATCAGAAGGCGATTCCGAATGGACAGTACGAAAAGTCCTAGACTCGAGACTGCACAGATCAAAACTCCAATACCTAGTAGAGTGGGAAGGATATCCGATAGAAGAAGCGACATGGGAACCTGAGGAAAACCTTGAGAATGCACGGTTGAAAGTTCAAGAATTTCACCGGCAAAATCCGAAGGCATTGAATCCCTGCAAAATTAACAAATCGGTGTTCGAAACCCAAGAGTTTTTGGAATGGCGCAAGAAGTTTATTCGTCCTAGTTTCATTCGCGATGACGCTCATCCTAGAGAGGGGGTAATGTCACGAGTTCCAAATACAAACCATTATTCGTTCCTTAATTTTAAGTCCTTTAAGCGCCCAGTCACAGCGCCTGTTCCTAAGAATATGTTTACTGTTGAAGAAGTTCCTATTATTGCGTCTATTGTAGAATTACCAGAGTCACATGATCAATCGGACAATGCCGAAGATATTGACGTCATGCCTTGCGACACTCTTGGAATGTTCCAGAGTCTTACTGCGGCTGCGGCACATGTTATGACATCATAGTTATATATAGAATCGTACGATACCTTTAATTATTCTGATTGGTTAGTTAGTTCATACTCAGTTTCGATCTCAGTTTCAATATGTGTATATAGGTAGCTTGTCGTAGTCAGTAGTTCTTTAGTTCAAACCTCTTGTATCTCCAAGTGAGCAATCCAAGATGTACCTGCTGCCTTATCCTCTTTGTGATTATCTTGTTGTTTGAGTCCTAGTCTCTGCCCTGCGTTAATTCGTTTAAAGGGGTTGTGACAGCTCGTCATATGAGCCAGCCTCGGTCTGGATGCAACACGTGGTTAGAGGATATGATCAACTCCATTTCACCTGGTGAAGATCATAACATGGGCTCTGCAGATGACGAGGACTTCACTGGACTTCCTTGTGATGTTTCTTATGATCTGGGACTTGGAGGCAAGGAAAATTTTCATTATTTCGGTGCAGGAGGAGAGGACATCCCTGATGGAAATAAAGTGCATGCTGGTGAAGTAATCGACTAATTTCCAGAGCCTACTCTGGCCTATGAGGACAGCTACACATTTCTGGGGCTGTTTGATGTGGATGAAAACAGTGTATATCGGAAAACGAACCTCTATTATCTGTTTAGCAGTTGACAAGATTGGCAACTTGCAGCATGGCTCTTACATTCGGGCCTAAGCATGGGGAAGATCGACTCTTTTCTATCACTCGAAATGGTCAGTTTGTCTACTTCACTTTCACTGCTAACGATTCACGTCTTTTTAGATCAAGGATTTACCCTTGTCATTCCGCTCCACCAGAGAACTATGCAGTCAAGCTGAGATGCTGCCCAGTGGTCCATGCTGGAAGTCTCAAGTCATTCATACATCGCATCCTACAAAGTCACCAGTCATTCTGTACTGGCGTGACCCTATTGAATGTATCGCCAGCATCTTCAATCACCCACTGTTTCACCGTCATATGGATCTCATGCCTCGCAAGATTTACTCTACTGCAGAGAAACTATGTCATGTATATACCGGATGGATGTCAGGAAACGTCACATGGGATATGCAAGTGAGTAGATAGTCAAATATTGAGGTTTGGTACTCATGTATTCTTAAAGTCGGCAATACCCAAGGGTGCAACCCTCCTTGGCACCATTCTCTCCTCTGACAAGACGAACATCACTGCATTAACAGGGGATCATGTAACTCATCCGCTCCTAATTAGCCTCTCCAACATCCATATGAATGTACACTTGAAATCATCAACCAACTCTTTCGTTCTCACTGCCCTGTTACCAGTCCCCAAGTTCATTCACAAGAAAAAGTGAATGAAGGGTGTATTGGAGGATTGCCTTATACATCAATGCCTCAATATTATTCTTGAGCCACTCAAGCAATCCACTCAACATGGTGTCATGCTGTCTGATCCTATCGGATGCAGTCGGTATTGCTTCACTGCTCTCATGAGCTATATCACCGACACCCCCGAGGCCATGATGCTGGCAGTCATTGGTGGAAAAACATCGCCAGTGATGATGGCAATGTATAAGCAGTTCAGGGATGCATTCCATCATGAACCCCAGACAAAATCAATGATGATTGCACAGCTCGCTGTTGTGTGCTCACGTGCTGATCCTAATGATCTTGAGGCATATTTCCATAAGGCACATAAATTCTGACTGAATGGTGTCGACAAACCGTTCTGGTGGGACTATGCACTAGCAGACCCCTCCCGGTTTCTTACACCGGAATCACTCCATCATCATAAAGAATTCTTTGACCATGACACCCAATGGCTCATTCGCGCTGTTGGAGATTCTGAAATAGACTTCCGGTTCTCAGTGTTACAGCCCATCACCAGTTATCGACACTTTTACGGTGGCATCTCCAAATTAAAACAAGTCACTGGTCGCTGTGAACAAGAAATTCAATGTTATATCATTGCTATCAGTGTGGATGCAGCACCTCCTTGTGTCATCACTGCTGTACATGCACTCATGCAGTTCTGGTATCTCATACAGTCGCCACATACAGTAGCTCAAAAAAGTGTCTCAATGTTTGTTGGTTTTCATGTAATTGCTTTCTTATGAGTCAGGGTGTGGGAATCTGACTATGCTATGGGGAGGTGTCAGAAAGGTCCACCTCCCAGCTATATTTATGTTCCATATAGTGTGGGAGGCTGACACTACCGTGTGAAGATATGGACATTTTGATTTGATGACTCATTGAGACACTTTTTTGACTTTAATTTCTTTTAGATAAATCAGACCACCTAGACAAAATATCATTACTAAATATTTCAAAAAATGGTGTCATATTAATTATATGGTCTGATTTTAATATCTGACATTTATATAAGTACAAGCTAAACCATGAAATCCTTCATAATCCTTATGAAGTCTATCTCTCCTGCTCAAAAGGATAATATCCTTGTTCTTACCTCCTCTGGTCTATCTACTAGACAGATTGCTTCCAAAACTGGTCTTAGCAGGGCTACTATTGCTAGAGTCATCAAGAAGTCTATTCCAAACAAAGAAAATATCAATATGGGACGTCCCTCTAAGCTCACCCCTCATGACAAAAGAGCTATTGTCTATTCTATTCTATCTGGAGAAGCTTCAAATGCTGTTCAAGCCACCAAACTCATTAATTCCATCATCCCCTTCACTGTCTCCACCCAAACAGTAAGAAATACTCTCAAGGCAGCTAACCTGAAAGCTGTAACCAAGAAGAAGAAACCACTTCTTTCACCAGCTCATAGGAAGAAGAGACTAGCCTTTGCTCTAAAGCACCAACACTGGACTATAGAGGACTGGAAGAGGGTTATTTGGTTAGATGAGACCAAAATCAATAGACTAGGGTCAGATGGTCAGGAATATGTATGGAAAAAGGCAGGAGAACCACTAGGAGAAAGAGAGGTGAAAGGCACACTAAAGTTTGGAGGGGGAAACTTGATGGTATGGGGCTAGATGGGATGGAATGGAGTGGGGATTTTGTGTGAGGTGGAGGGGAGGATGAATGCAGAGCAGTATGTCTCCATTCTAGAGGAGTGTCTGCTCAGAAGCATGCAGGAGTCAGGTGTTGATGAAGAAGACATCATTTTCCAGCAGAACAATGATCTCAAGCATACCTCAAAACTGGCCACCAAATGGTTTGAAGACCATGATATCAATGTTCTATCATGGCCAGCACAGTCTCCAGACCTCAATCCTATTGAACATCTCTGGGAATTACTCAAAAGACTACTTGCTGCCTATCAAGATTCTCCAAAGGGGCTATTTGAACTATGGGAGAGAGTTGTGGTAGAGTGGAAAAGAATTACCAAAGAGGAATGTCAGAGATTGATAGAAAGTATGCCCAGAAGAATAGCAGCAGTGATTAAAGCCAAGGGAGGTAACACAAAGTACTAGAATTATAAAGATTGTATTGGTCAAACTTGAAGTCAAAAAGTGTCTCAATGAGTCATCAGATTAAGATGTCCATATCTTCACACGGTAGCGTCGGCCTCCCACGCTATAGGGAACATAAATATAGCTGGGAGGTGGACCTTTCTGACACCTTCCTATAGCATAGTCAGATTCCCACACCCTGACTCATAAGAAAGCAATTACATGAAAACCAACAAACATTGAGACACTTTTTTGAGCCACTGTATTGACCAGGAAGATCTTGGGCGCATCTCAGGTGCTCTAACTGAGTTTCACATGAACAAGGATGTAATCCTTGCTGCTGGGGCTCATTGGGGGAAGGACAATAGAAACATCGACAACTTTTATATTCCCAAGCTAGAGCTAATGCAGAGTATCATTCCCAGCATTCACAACTCTGGTGTCATAGGACAGTGGTCTGCCGACATCACTGAACATGCCCACATTATGGAGATCAAAGACCCTGCCAGATCAAGCAATAACAACAATTACAACACACAAATTTGTCGACACCTCGACCGTGCTGAAAAATGTCATCATTTTGAGCTCGCCACTAGCCTTCTGGATCACGGACAGAGGGGTGAGGAAGAGGGGTTTGACTTGGATGCTGAAGATAGCGATATTGAAGCTGATGTTGGCACAGAAGATGTTCCTATCAACCCAACTCAACACCCACACCAAACTATAAATTACTTTGCAATTGTGAAGGCACTTCAGCATTGAGAAGTGGGTTCTGTGCCTGTACTACCTCGCTCCTTTGTTGACAAACGCACTGCCTTTCATCTTGGATATGACCCCTCCATTCGGAGCATCACCATTGATGAAGTCGCAATTAAATTTGGCTTACCAGATCTATGACCAGCCATAGCTGATTTCCTTCAATGCGAGGCAGCTTATGGACACCAGCATGTTTATTCAATAAGCGGCCCCAGAAGGGCTGGATCTACTGCCATCCTCCTGTTCGACAAAGTACAAGTCTGGTTCAAAATTTGCTTGCAGGAGATGGACTTCCACGACACTCACACAATCAAACCAGCTCAGACGCTAAATTGTGTACCACCAAACAACCCGTGGATTCTAGGCTGTTATGATACAGTCATTGTTGAGACCAGTGCAGGCTACCCATGGCCTAGTAGTTATCTTTCGGGTACTTTCTGTCTTGTGTTACAATAAATGTATGTTCACTCACTGTTACAGGTCATACAATCACGCAGATTAGACTCATTATGCGACCTATTGGCAAGAGTGGTACACAATGGTCCTGGAAGGATTGGTTCCTCACGTATGTCCAAGATTTTGATCTTTCAAATGATTATGATCCAGCCACATGGCTTTACACACTGAAGTGAGCAAAACACTTGAATGGAAACTGGATGGGCGACATTATTCTGGTATCTCAATTGAGGGCTCCTGTTCAACTGGTCCCTCGCTTTGGCGCTACTGCTGACAAGCATCTCTCAGCATATAACAGTTTAGAGCATGCTGCTGAGTTTTGGCTGAATGAATATTGGGATAAAAGCACCTTCTTTGTGCTATCAGCCTGAGATTTGATACAAGATAGGGTCATTTTTGTAGTAGACATGCCAAATGGATCAAAGATTGTTCTCGTACCTGTATCCATGCATTCATACTAGTGCTCCCTCATGCCACTCGGTAAACATTTCTGCTCAGTGGGCCTCGGGGATGAAGCTGACATTTTTGATGTCAGCTCCTGAGGTTCACGATATAACAACAATAGATTGACTCACCAGCTTGGAACTTATTCACTTGATTTTGCAGGAATCTTCACCTGCCAACAGTGATGAGCTCGGCCATGTATTATTGCTAATTTTCAAGTCCTGTATGACTGAAGTTCCCAGAGCAAAGGATCTCAAAGTTCCATTGAAGAAAATCCACCCTGATACCAGGATCAAAGCATTTCAGCACATTGAAGATGAAGCAACCCTCGTACCACTCTATGACACGCATGCATGTCGTTGGAACTGGCCACTCCCAGAGTCACATTTAGATAAACTCGCTGCCAGTGGGGAGAGAAGTAATCAGGCAAGAGAGAACAGTAGCATGGACCAGGGAGAGAGGGAAGGAGAAAATAGTGGTGCCACAGATCAGAGGTCGGGAGATTGGGATATCATCGATGACACTGGTGCACCTGCTGCCTCTGAGTCACAGGTTGAGAGTCTTAGCCAGCCTGAGGACGACATAATGTCAACAAATGCCAGCTCTGCCAGTAGTGACAAAGCCCCAGTGCTCCATGCAATTGACCGCGATTCTACAAAACCATGGATGACCAAACAGGTGTTTGCATCCTTCAATAACCTTCTTACCTTTGCCCTCCTCCTGCAGAAGCCTGCACTCACTCAGAAGCATAACTTATCTCATATCTGGAGTGCATTGAACTCCTTGTCCATAATATGTGGCGATGAAATCACACGCAAACCAGACCTCACCCTGCTTGATGATATCGAGGCTAGATGGGATACAATCAAGGCCATATGTGAGCTGACTTCAAGTGCCTACTTACCTTCACATCCCCTTGCCAAAACTCTTGACACCAAGGCTTACCTGCTTCTCAAACACCAACTGTGGAGACATTTTGCACTGTTGGTCTCCATTTGCAATGAGTATCGCGAGCTTCACATCCATCTATATGACCACTTGGGCGGAGTTGTCAGCCCTTGCACACATATCGATCGAGAGCTGGACAAGTACTTATGGATATTTTCATCCATTGTCTTTGGCAATCTCGAGTGTATCAGACTCAACCCCACAATTACTATCTTGAAACACATGCTTCATCGCACACTTCAATCCCCTGATTTCTGTGTTGCCAAACCCTCACCTTCTCCTCACCAGACTGCTGAAGTGATCTCAGATGCACTGATCATGGAGAGCGAGACCATCGAGATCGAAGAGATCGTGAGTGAGCCCCCACATACCATAGAGGATGCGGTGCCCAACCCCACAGCCAACATCCCTCCAAACCTGGTTCCCCTCATAGACAAAGTCCCTAGCGATTCTTTGAGTGGACCCCTCCCAGAGCCAATAGGAAAAATACGAGTAAATGAGAATACATACAATATCCTGGATCTAATATTCTCCACTCAAGGTCTTGTTGGTCGTGGCACAGTGTGCTATCTGGTGAGAAAGGATGAGGAAGAGTATATCGTCAAGGATCACTGGGTCCTCGGGAGTAAATCAGAGGTCCTGAATGAAATTTGTATGATGGAGAAAATGGATGGGATCTGTGGTGTTCCTTGCCTTGTCGAATATTGGCTTGTGGAGATGGAACCTGGCGAGGTTGACAAAACAGTGAAGTATTGTCAAAAGGTCCTGTGCAGCATAAAGGGCACCTCCCATACACATGTTCACCTGGTCTTGAAGCCCCACGCGCTGTAGGGATTCATTTCTGGCTGGGCTTGTAGAGACTGTTTTTACCTTACCTTATGTTGGCACTTTTGTAGCTTACATAAGCAAGCAATCTTTTCACCAGTTACCAGTATGGGTCTGAGGGCTGACCAAGTTTCTATGATATTTCCTCTCCTTTGAGCCTTAAGCCTAGTCCAGAAACCCTTTAGGGTCAAATAGCAGCTAGGTTCTGCAAGACCCAACATTGTTCAGACTCACCATCTGAATTGTTGTACCTTCAGCGCAACCCTTGTATAAATTCCATTTGCGCGCAGAGTTCTTGACCTTGATACTGGATATTATTAAGAGTAAGTGATTTTGATCGTATGTACATGTACTTAACCATTGCACTCACAAAATATTCAGTTCAGAAACAAGCGGTAGAGCAGAACCGGGTTCTTCATCGTGATTGAAGTTTGAATAATGCAATGATTGAAGATGATGGTGATGGCACCCATGGGATGTTGATAGATTGGGAGTTTGCTGTAGACATTGTATGAGGCAATCAGTACAGTGTTGGGGGCACAGTTAGTGTTTTGATTTGTTTCTAGGATATGAATTTAAATCAATATCATCTTACAACCTCAGGGCACAGTACCTTTCATGTCGCGGTCCCTTCTCTTCCAGCTTTACCTCCACACACTGGATCCATCCGATGAGCGCTTGGGTACATGAGCCTCATGATCAAAACCATACCCACCCCCCATGGTCACACATGTCTATCAGGATGATCTCGAATCGATGTTTTATGTTTTCATCTGGGTCTGCATCGAATTCAGGGGCCCTCTCGGCATGAAGTGTGTTCTCCCTACTATTCTCCCACAGTATTCATTACAGCACATCAAATGGATAATGCAAGAATGGTCTGCGTCCACATACCAAAAGTGCGGGGACAGCAAGACTTGATTTTTTCATCAATCTGAACATCACACTAAGGAACTCTCCTGACAATTTGATCCCTACTTTGAATCTCTTCTTCCACTCATGTTAGAGTGGTATGACCTCATTAAAAACCCTAATCAGTTGCATTTCGATAATGTAATTGATCTGCTGGGTAGACACATCGCTGCACTTCTAAAGGAGGACTCTCCTGGGCCCCTAGTCTCCAAATGGGTAATTCTCTCAGCGGCAGGTTCACTCATGCCACCCCAGAACAATGAGGAAAGTGCGTCACCACCTGTAGATGAGACACGACAGAAGCAAGTGGTTGATCACTGGTGGATGATGGAAGCCATACCCAAGCTGAAGAGGAACAAAACTGAGTAGAGTTTGATCCAATAGTAATACATACCTGACACATTTACATATGTTGATATCTGATACAAGTATGAGTCACATGATATTCCCATTATGTACTTAGTGTAAAATAAAGCATGTATCATTACTACTACCTTCGACATGCTCAGTCACACTCTCTACATGCAGGCAGCGCTTGACTCATATTTCTGAAAGAAATTACATTCAGCTTTGCAAGATTCTCTCATGTTACCTGCAAGCACCAGAGATATTTGACATGTATTTGTGATTGTCTGATTATGAGTCGAACTTTTCTGAGCCTTAAAAGTTGGTGTGTATCTCCCAGTGATTTACTCATACTGATTGTATCACTATTTCTACTCTCAGTGTAGTCCAGTCATGCCTCCCTGTGCTAGCCAGAAGAAAACAAAGTGTAAAGCTGTGGATTCTGATGGTCAAGCAAACTCTGCAAAGAAGTCGCGTGCAGGGGCCCAGGCATCTGTGGTGTTGCAGGAGCCAATTCTTGCAGAAAAACCATCAGTTCGACATTCTGGGCGTCCTAGGGCAGGAAAAGGAGGTAGGGCAGAGCAGCTGGAAAAAATTGGTGCTCTCTTGGATGCCCCCACATGGACTACTCAGCCCAAGGGCTCCACCTCCCTTGACTTAGATGTACCAACCAATCTTCTTGCACTCAAACTGTCTCATAAGGGTCGTGGCAGTTGCTCAAAGGCAAGTCTGTTTTTATTGATCTTAGATGCTAATGTTGAATACAGACAGAAACCTCCTCCGCCATATACCATCTTTGTTATGCACTCAAATAGATCTGTTAGACAGAGCCCTAAGAGGGGCGTCGTCCGCTAATGTTCGTGACGTAACCAGAAGGGTCCAGTGTAGTGACTGAGACTGGCGACGTTGAGTCGGCAGATATCAGAGACGCATGTGTCACATGACTTCTAAGACGGATGTCTTCATAGTCACTGACATTCTCAAAGTAAGGACTGTCCTGTCCGAATGATGAGTAGTCGATTGAGGTAGACTTAGGCGCGACGAGCACCTAAGAAAAGATACTAGAGACTGAAGCTGAAGGGGCTTCAGAGGGAAGTATGTTTGAGGGAAGATTGAGTAGATTCAAGTTAGAGAATCTAGTACAAGATGACCGACTACTTATACTAAGTGGAGAGGGTTTAGGGCAAGGCTACCGTACTGTAGGTAAGAGTAGAGGGAAACAGAAGTGGTATAGGTATGCTGGTAGTAGAGCCTGATGAGTGATGGGAGGTCGAATGCGGAATGAGACCGAGAAACATTGGAACGAACCAACAGTTAAAAGATACAATGTGCAGCACGCATGAGTCAGAGAAAAGATAAGAGCAGATAAGGAAAGCCACATTGGTGGCATGAGTCAGGACGAGTCATAGCCCAAAGGCACATTCGCACGTTGGTGCAATAAGAGGGAGACAAGGGGTGGGAACAGTCCCGAGGATCTGGTCAACGGATAGTCGGTAAAGGAGTATGAGCCAGAGGTAGGCGAGGACAAGGATGAAAAGAGGAAAAAATGATAGGGGGCCATGTAGCCGATGTTACTTGTAACAGTCTCAGAAACAGTGGTCGATCCTGCAACTTCTAAAACAGGGAGGAAGAAAGTTACCAGTAAAGTGACGAAGAATGCTCTCACTCCTACTACTGACACGGATGCATTGAATATGCAACCCACCTTTTCTCACCGCCAACCTGGTGGCTGGTTCAGCTTTGTGCAGTCTATCGTCCCTCCCAGCACAGAGCCCGACTGTCACAACCCCTTAAATGAATTAACGCAGGGCAGAGACTAAGACTCAAACAACAGAATAGTCACAAAGAGAATAAGGCAGCAGGTACGTCTTGGATTGCTCACTAGGAGATACAAGAGGTTTGAACTAAAGAACTACTAACTACGTCGAGCTACCTATATACATATATTGAAACTGAGATTGAAACTGAGTGTGAACTAACTAACCAATCAGAATAATTAAAGGTATCGTACGATTCTATATATAACTATGATGTCATAACATGTGTCGCAGTTGCAGTAAGACTCTGGAACATTCCAAGAGTGTCGCGAGGCATGACGTCAATATCTTTGGCATTGTCTGATAAGTCACATGACTCTGGTAATTCTACAATGGATGCAATAATAGGAACTTCTTCAACAGTAAATGTTTTCTTAGGTACAGGCACTGTGACTGGGCGCTTAAAGGACTTAGAATTTAGGAATGAATAATGGTTTGTATTTGGAACTCGTGACACTGACTTGCAAGCACTTAATAACCCCTTTGTAACGGCCGCTAGGGAAAAATGTGCTCTGTCAGTTTCCTTGGATCCCAACAGGCGTCTTCTTCCCACTGCCACATCCAGAAACAACAATTTGGCACAACCGGCACCTTCAAAATCCAGGTCGAGTATGCAACCTAACACTACGTTCCACAAGAACCTGGACCCTGCTCTATTGTCAGCTGGAGATGTATGTTCAGGAGCTGGACATACTGGATCCGAAAGTTCAGAGGCATCTACTGATGATGATGATGATGATGATGATGGAGGTCACACTGATGATGATGAAGAGGAGGATGAGGAAGAAGAAGAGGAAGAAGGTGACGTTGAAGGCCAGGAGGTCAGATGGGGAGCAGCGCATGGGCACCTTACTGCACATCCTGGTAAGTGATTCACTCTCACAATTTTGATCACACTGAGCATGAGACAGGTTTTTCAAAGGAAGTTGAGCCTTCACAACCTTGGGTCACCACTGCTCTTCCAATTGATTTTGAATTTCAACGCTCACACAATGAGGATGATAATATGGCTGAGAAGAATTTAGCAGCTGGCACGTCCAGTGACAATGGCAATATGATCCAGGTATATATTATTTGTTTTTCTGGAGTCTGCTAACCTTCTCTTCCTTGAAGCCCACAGAGACTATTCCTGATGATGTTCTACAGCTTCACCACAAGCGAAATGGACATCCCCACCTGCCTAATCCTGTGGTCCTCAATCTTTTGTGTCAGGCTGAGACCAAACCTCCCAATTCCAAGCCGAGTGATACAAATACCAAAGCTCGTAAGGTATCAGCCAAGATAACAGGTGAAGGTCCTAAGGCTACACAGCTGGGTTGGTATGGTCCTCATTGGAAGAGGTTCCTGGAGGAAATGAAGGGAGAGTGCTGTGTTCAGCACACAATAGAAAATCCATTCCCGACCTTCAGTTGATGGCTTGTCAGGAACCATCTCTGAGATTCTTACAGCTTCACTTGTACAATGGCTCGAAAGCGGCCAACAAGTCGAAGGCAGTGAGTATTTCTTTTCCCCTCGAAACAGCTTGCTCACTCGTCTATTAGATATTTAGCCTGATTACAAGCCTGAGATGGCCAAGCTGGTGTGTCTGTGTTTTTGGTCCGCATGCCTGTATCTGACGTGCTTGTTTTTATTTCAGCTGTTTGAAGATCTATCGACATGGCGCTCAGGACCTCAAGAAAATCGCTATCAGTATCACACCCTCTATGTATGACCTCATCCTGCCATCTCATGTTCCCCCCCAAGAACAGTGCTATGTGGGTCGAGGAACGCGCTGCAAAACTACTTGAATTGTCTTTTTTTTCTGCAATGGTGTTGATAGTCTCGGGAAAACTCGAAATGTTGCTCACCCTGCGCTCCATGAAGCTGCCATTTTGTTCTTCTATACCGGGTCTTATCATATTGCTCACAGGAGACCTGAGGTTTTCTGTGAGCAGCTACCACTGGAGTGCTTAGCTTTGGTTTGCACTGCGGTATGTTGTGATACTTTTACTTGACAATATACTGACACTTTTCAAGTTCAATTGCATCCTCAACAGTTTAGTCAAGAATGGTAATGGAAAGTTGTACCTGAAGTTTTCCGCCAAAGAGTACAAGTCAATCTATATCAAGATGCTTGGGCTACTAAACAATATCATTCGGGATCCTTATCACAGACCAAAGCTGGTAGAGCAGCTTCATTCGTGGGCTGCATCTGGATGGCAAGTTTTTTTTTGAGTTTTTCAATACTAATATATATATTTTTCACACAGGGCCGCAGTCCTTCAAGGTTGACGGCAATGATGTTTCAAAGTATCATCATCTACAGGTTCTGCTTGATTAAGTTCTTTTACTACGAGTCCTTACTTTTAGCATACCATGCATTCATGTTTTCTGCCAATTGAATACATATCATGATTGTTGTCCTATTTGTACATGTGAAGATAGTTGAACAATTGATATGACATTGGCAAACTCTGTACATGCGAAGACAGTTGAGCAATTGGTATGTTATTGGCAAATTCTGTACAAGACCTTCAATCTGGGTGTCTGTGAGCATGAGGGAAATCAGCACTGTATCAAGCATGAGTTAAAGGGTGTTTACATATCGATTCTCATCGACATACTCAATTCCAATCCGAACAAAAGAAGGAAAGGGACAAAAAGGCTAGCACTTCCTGAGGACTGATAACTGCCTGTGATGCCTGGAATTGCACTGGTCTCAACTGTGAAATGAAAACTGGGTCAAAATTTCCAGACAGGAAATGAGAGTAATTCTTACACGGCGCAGTCGCAGTTGTGGAAAAGAGGGCAACCATGGACCCCACAATTACAGCCTGATGCTGCATTTGCATCAGAAAGCCACATCATTACATGCAACTCACTGCAAAAGTTGATAGCATGGCTGCCAAAACGACCTTATCGTTATTCCATAGTGTATAAGTCCTAAGGATGAAGAAGCCTGGAGGAATCAAGACCCTACACTCACGATAAAGATAATAGAGCAATTACATTCTGAGCAGATACTGGATATCAGGCTAAAAGCTGTAGGGGGGAAGGTTAACGACTTGTAATTTCAACATGTAATTTGATGCACTTGAGCAAATATTGTTGATAAATTGGCACATCTAGATTAGCTCTCAAGTAAGCAGGGCTCTTATCTATTGTGAGCCAACTAGTGCTGCCGGAGTCCGGTTTGGAACCTCGGTTTGAACCCGAATCTTTTCGAACCTGACCTATGGTCCGGTCACAGGTTCAGGATAGCCGCCAGACCGAACCTTCACATAGGTTCAGGGTTCAGCTGATACCGAGAAATCATGAACACTGTTCGGATGTGTCCAAACACATCTGAACTGAATTGCAGAGGAGGATCCCCATGGGAGCTTCCATATCTGATTCACTCGACACCATCATCACTATTGAACAATATCCTGGCAACAAACGATCTCCTGGCAACAATGGGCATTGTCAGCCCTGAATATATCAATCACAGGAGATTCAAGAGCCTGAATGGCTTCTACTTTGTGGTGGCAACATTCCTCAGTAATGTTCCGGTTAGCCAGATGTCATTATTTGTATTCTAATCTATCTTACTGTGTCAAGAACATATATTTAGGATTCTCATTCACATCTTTCAGTGCTGAATGTCAGTCTACAGGTGATTTCATCTTTCCATGTGTGGAAGTGGTATATTCAAGGTGCGCTAGTATAATTATATGTTATGGTTTGCGGTCTAAATATCTACGTTAGGTCCAATATCCACCCTTCCTGCTGTGCAAATGTCGTGTGCACTTAGACCTGATGGCCAATTGAAAGACGCTAAGGACATCAAGTGGTACAACAATCCTGATGATGATTCCCCCATGCTCCCATCGCCACCTCCTGCCACATCCAATGGCAAGATTACTGCCTTCATGTCCTGTCGCTTGGGACGAGCCATTAAACCAACGGAGAAGATTTGTGACGCTGTCAACAGTGCTCCAGCAAAGTGACCAGCACCAGCAGCTCCTGAGGGTTGGCCCGCACCCAAACGAATTCAAACCGGCTCCCACCTGAACCATCATGGTGACAATGATGATGAAGAACCCCCTGCTGCAGAGGGACTTTCAGACAAGGAGGAGGAAGAAGACAAAGAGGAAGCTTGTGAAAGGACAAAGGCATTGGGGGATGAGGACGGCGAGCATCACAGGCCGATGAAGAAAGATGAGTGTAGTGCAGACTTAAAGACGATCTTCACACAAGAGAAGGGCCATATGAACCCTCACACCCAAGAACACGAGGATGGTTGGTGGTGTGAGATATGCAGGTAAGTCTCAATGTCAAAATAATCGCACTGAACTAACATCAAGTCCAGAGGCAATGATGTACCATCCGGCCAGTGTTTTTTTAAATGCAGTATCTCAACCTGCTGCACCCACATCGCATGCAATCCAAAATTCCACTTCCCCCTTTACCGAGACTGCTGCAATGAACGAGGAATCACAATTCACGGTCATGCCATCCCTCTTAACTCCAAATCAACCGACGGAGTTCAACACACATTACATGCCTCCCTTGCACCTAAGGTTGCTGAGTTCACGAAGTCCGGCCTGATGGACTATATTGTCGAGCTCATTGTCTCTGAGGATAAGGTGCGTGGTTGTGATCTTTTGTTTTGTGTGATTGTGACTTAAGATACTTATACTAGGTGTTCCAACTCATCTGTCATATCCCATATATTCACGCTTCTCTTCCGGACTTCGGACCCTGAGATCCGGTCCGGTCCGATGTATAGATCCGCTTCCGATCCGATTTACGATAAGCTTTCTAATTCATTTCCTGTTTCATATAACGTTAAACACAGCCTATTCGGTATTTCCTCTTCCCGGTGTTTCGGTTATGCTTATTACCGGTATGATTACTGATCCGTTAACCTATGTCTCATTTCCGACTCGCGTTTGATAACCTTTGCACATGCTTCGTACATAGCCTCGGACCCTTGCTTACTGATACTTCCGTTATCCTCATAGTATATAAACTCGTGTATATGTCCTGTAGTACCTCAGTTCGAATATCATCTTAGTTTGTCCTCTTTCTGTCCTCCGGACTTGAGTTCTCCTTACTCTTGTCACTCTCCGAGACTTCGGATAGATTCCGATAGTCTATATCCTCGGCTCTACCTTCGGGTAGTCTTTACTCTGTTAGTTTCTAGTTCGGATACGTCCGGATTAGCCTTATACGCGTTTCCGATATCCGGAAGACTTCCGGATATACTACGAGACCCGTCCGGACCTTCGGACGCGTTATCGTTAGTACTTTGAAATAAGGGACAGTACTTGGGAAAGGGGCACAGCGTACGAGCTGAGGCCGAAGTCCTTCGGATCCGATCTTACGAGAGTATGACCTTAACAGTATATTCGAACTCACACCTTTCCAAGTACACTTACTCATATCATGGCTCCTACTAAAGTAAACCAAGCCGCTTTGCACGCTGTCGGACTTTCGTCCACCTGACGCGATCCGACATCCGTAGTTAACGCCTTCACCAGTTTCTCTCAGCGCCGTGTATCACGCGGTCCTGCTCAAAGTATTTCGCAACTCATGAATCGTCCGCATCCGGAAACCCCTACGCGCACTCCTGCCGGAGGTGATCCGGATGACGAAGGACCTCCGGACGATGAAGATACTCCTGGTGGAAACCCTCCGGATGACTTCGGAGGTGATCCGGATGATGAACCGGATGACAACGATGATGAATTTGACGGGTTAAACCCACAAGACCGTGTCATGCTTCGGCTTTCTCAAGCCATCGACAATCTCGCACGCAACAATCGTCGTCCGACCTCGTCCGAAGATTCTAAAGTCAAGATCCGTGAGCCCGATACTTTCGATGGCACTGAGCCTCGGAAGCTTCGTGCATTCTTCGTCCAATGCGAGCTCCACTTCCAAAGCAAACCCAAAGCCTTCCGTTCCGGACGGGCAAAAGTCAACTTCGCCCAATCCTACCTTAAGGGTATGGCACTCGAGTGGTTCGAACCGGATCTCCTAGCCGACGAGGACGATGATCGTCCGGATTGGATGGATGATTACTCCGCGTTCATGCTTGAACTCCAAACCAATTTCGGACCGCACGATCCGTCCGGAGATGCGGAAATGCAATTGGAGCAACTTCATATGCGTGACGGACAACGCATTAATAAATATGTTGTTGAATTTCAGCGTCTTGCTTCACAAGTCCGTGGCTGGGGTGACGGTGCCCTAAGACGCCAATTCTATAACGGACTTCCGGCTCGTATCAAAGACGAAATCAGTCGCATGGGTAAACCTTCCACCCTTTCCGAATACAAGATCCTTGCCCAGACTATCGACGCTCGATACTGGGAACGGAAGGGAGAAGTCGCCCGCGAAACTAAACCCACCACCTCCATTCCTCCTAAGCAAACCACGTCCGATCGGACGAATTCCAACTCGTCCGGACCTTCGAGGTACAAATCCGACAAACCCGCTACTTCCGCATCATCCTCCGTTTCTAAACCTCCGGACCTTACCTCCAAGTTAGGAAAGGACGGGAAGCTCACGTCCGAAGAACGTAAGAGACGGATGGATAACAAACTCTGTCTATTCTGCGGTGGACCCGGCCATTCGGCTCGGGAATGCACCAAGTCTACTTCGCGTGCTGCCAAAGGCCGCGCTGCAGTAGTAACTCCGGAAGACAAACCGGAGGCTTCGGATGAAGCAAAAAAATAGTCCGCAACCCTCCCGACTCCGCACGGGATGAGGGTTGCGTTGACTCTACCCGTGCAACGGAGCTACGTCTCAATGCTGTTTCTCTTTCCGATCCGAACTCTCTTTGTCCATACGTTTCTATTCCTACTTTTCCTGATATTTCTGATTTTCCTTCACTAATTGATTGTGGTTCCTCTCACTGTTTTATAGACTCTGATTTCGTCCGAAAAAATAAAATTCCTACATATCCGATATCTCCGCTTTCTCTCCGTTTGTTTGATGGTACTTGTAATAATATGATTTCCGAAGCTATAGATTTGCCTATCTGTTTTCCGTCCGGTGTAGTTACCTCCGATACGTTTTACGTTACTCCGTTGGATTCTTCTTGTTTTATCGTTCTTGGATATAGCTGGCTCACCCTACACAATCCGTTGATTGACTGGGTTTCGGGCAGCATCGATTTCCGAACGACTTCTCATGGAATGCCTTCGACACCTCCGACGTCGCTTCCGTCTCCGGATCCGCATCCTCCGATGGAAGATTTACCTCCTCCGACTACATCCGGAACCTCCGCTGATAAAACCATCCCCAACATTTCCTTGATCAATGCGGTTGCCTTTTGCCGGGCCTGCAAATTGGAAGGATCGGAACAGTTCAGCATCTACCTTCGTCCGACCGGTGTAGACCTCCGGTCCGCTTCCCTTTCATCCGATCCTCCGGACCTGTCCGGAATTCCTCCGGAATATCACGAATTCTCGGATGTGTTCGATAAGGGCAAAGCTAGCCAACTTCCTCCTCATCGTCCCTATGATCTCAAAATCGAGTTAGAGGAAGGAACTAGTCCGCCCCTCGGAACCATTTATTCTCTATCTGCAGTTGAGCTTGCAGCCCTCCGGAAGTTTCTTGATGAAAATATTTCCTCCGGACTCCTCCGTTCCTCATCCTCTTCTCACGGAGCTCCTGTCCTGTTTGTCAAGAAAAAGGATGGCTCCCTTCGCCTCTGTGTAGATTTCCGTGGACTTAACCAGATTACCAAGAAAGACCGATATCCGTTACCTCTCATTACCGACCTCCTAGACTCTCCGAGCCGCGCTAAAGTCTATACCAAAATCGACCTCCGATCCGCTTATCATCTCGTCCGGATAGCGGACGGAGACGAATGGAAGACCGCGTTCCGAACGCGTTATGGCTCATATGAATGGTTGGTAATGCCGGAAGGTCTCACTAACGCTCCGGCTGCATTCCAACGCTTTGTCAATAGCGTGTTTGCTGATATGCTGGATGTATGCGTTATCGTATATCTGGACGACATCCTCATCTATTCCCAAGACCTTGCATCCCATAAGGAACATGTCCGAGAAGTCCTTCTCCGTCTCCGAAAACATCGACTCTATGCTAAACCCGAAAAATGCGCGTTCCATACCACATCCGTTGAATACCTTGGTTACATCCTATCTCCGGACGGCTTGACCATGTCGTCCGAGAAGATCCAGTCCATCGTTGACTGGCCGGAACCTCGGAAAGTTAAGGATATTCAATCCTTCCTCGGATTCGCAAATTTCTATCGTCGATTCATTTTCAATTACTCGGACATCGTAGTTCCGCTCACCCGTCTTACCCGCAAGGGGGTTACTTGGGATTTTTCCGATGATTGTCGGAAGTCTTTTGAAACACTCAAGAAAGCTTTCACGTCCGCTCCGGTGCTTACGCACTGGATTCCGAATGTTCCGATAGTCGTAGAAACCGACGCCTCTGACTACGCTATAGCCGGAATACTTTCCATAGTATGTCCGGACTCAGAGCTTCGTCCGGTGGCATTTTATTCTCGGACGCTTACCGCTCCGGAACTCAACTACGACACTCACGATAAGGAACTTCTAGCCATCCATGAAGCTTTTCGGACGTGGCGACATTACCTTGAAGGCTCTGCCGAGCCGATAGACGTTGTCACGGACCATAAGAACCTTGAGTATTTCTCTACCACAAAACTCCTCTCTCGCCGTCAGGCCCGCTGGTCGGAATTCCTCCATCAGTTTAACCTAGTCATCCGTTTCCGTCCCGGAAAACTCGGAGCTAAACCGGATTCCCTTACTAGACGCTGGGACGTCTATCCCAAAGAGGGGGATAAGGACTACGCTCGAGTTAACCCTCACAATTTCCGTCCGGTATTCACTTCGGAACAGTTAGCTTCGTCCCTCCGAGCCTCAACTCTAGTAACTCCGGTTCTTAGGGCAGCCGTTCTGATTGATATCGACCAGCTCCGGAAAGACATCCTGACCGCACTTCCTAATGACCCTATCGCATCCGAACATCTTCCGGAACCTTCGGATCCGAGATGGACGGTGGACGATAGTGGTTTCCTCCGCTGCGACAACCGTATATATGTTCCGGAATCTAATAATCTCCGTCTTCGCGTCCTCCAGAATACTCATGATCATCCGTTGTCCGGACACTTCGGACAGAACCGGACGCTAGATATCATCCGACGCGAGTACACTTGGCCAGGAATCCGTACCTATGTCAAAGACTACGTCAAGTCTTGTACTTCCTGCGGCCGAGCTAAGGTTCCGAGACACAAACCTTACGGATTGCTCAAGCAGTTACCCATACCGGAAAAGCCTTGGAATTCTATATCCATGGATTTCATCGAGCACCTTCCGGACTCATCCGGCTTTACAGCCATCCTCGTCGTAATCGACCGTCTATCCAAACAAGCTATATTCATCCCTACCCACGACACCATTACCTCTCCGGATCTCGCTCGTCTATTCGTCCTCCACGTGTTTTCCAAGCACGGAGTTCCATCCCATGTCACTTCGGACCGAGGAACAGAATTCGTATCGCATTTCTTCCGGTCCTTAGGAAAAGCATTAGATATGGTCCTCCACTTCACGTCCGGATATCATCCGGAAGGAGACGGACAAACCGAACGAGCGAACCAAACCCTTGAACAATACCTCCGGATATACTGCAACTATCAGCAGGATAACTGGTCGGAACTACTTCCCTTGGCAGAATTCGCTTATAACAACGCTCCGAGTGCTA